AGCCCTATCTTGAGAGAGAGGGCCATCACCCTAATTTTAATTGAGTGTAGAACTTTCCAACTGGCACACCTTTGGATACATGTTTATATTTATCTGAAAATCTATAAAAACTCAATATAGTTTAAAGTCTCTTTCTACATAAAAACACTACTTGTTGTCTGTCAGCTGCACTCAGGTCTGATGTCATCCAGTGGGACTAAGGGCGTAGGGAGTTGACATAATTCTTATCTTGTTTTTGTTATTAGCATGCCCTTGAAGGGGACTGTGGGACCCTGATCTCTTCTTATCCCTCTTTTTTGGTTCTTGACTCATGAGGTAAGCATTTTGTTTTACTACATGTTTTTACTATAATGTGTTGTCCTTGTGAGAGACCCAAATTGATGGGGCCACTTAAATTTTGAACTAGAATCTACCGAACAGGAATCCAAAATAAAATTTTTTCCTTTATAGTTTACTTCCCTTAGGTGTTTCAGTATAATAACATAAAAATAACATAATATCCTTTCATAGTGACTTTTGTATTGCTAGAAAATGAAAACAAGACAAAGTAAAATAGAAGCAACTGTACTATTAAGAAAAAAAAAGATGATTAGGAAGAATATAAATCAAGATAATTCCTAGGTTCTTGAGCAAAATTTTCCCAAAGTTTATTTGAGATATATAGTCCTCACTTTACCTCATATTGAAGATGGGTGTTATAAAGTAAGTGTTATGAAAGCAAAGAGATTTTATAGTTTCAAATAAATATATAGCTTAGAATAATGCTCTATCTAGCTTTCATCAAAAATAATTAAATAAATTATATATTCCATGTTTGCACAAATATGTCAAAATAGATTCTACTATCAAGTATTAGGAACAATTGTTTTAATGCAAAAAAAGAAAGAAAGAAAGACTAACAAACAGCATTTACTTTACTGAGGATAAAACTTTTTGATCTTAACAGATTTAAATGCAAGTCTTTATAAATGGATAGTAAAATAACAAAGCCTTAGGAGATTTCCATTTTAGACTTTTGAGTAACTAAATAAG